GAAAACATAGATTTGATTCCTGGCAGGGACTGATTAACAAAAGCAGAGTTAATTTCTGCATCACATGGTTTGGATGGATCTAGCCCCAAATCCTACCCAGCACTTGTGTGTAATCTCGTATAAAAGTAAGTAGGAGTCTCCTTTTCTTCTTGACAAGTTGTTCAAAAATCTATTCCAATTAATATCTGTACCTAAATGGGGAGTCTAATATAACTTACAGCAAAATTTCTACTTGCAAAACACACACATTCAATAGCTTCCCTCAAAATGAATTAATACTTAACTTTACTTAGTCAAACTCCCAAGTGTCTAATGAGATGTTCTAATAAAACTTGTTACTTTTTTGTTCTTCTCTGATTTACACAAACTTCTCTTTTTTGGGAACCGGGAAAGAGTTAATGATAGCAGGCAGCTCCTGGGTGTCACATCTATTTAAAAGGTAAGCTGCAGCCTGTTTTTTCCTTCACTTTGAAACTTCATTGATACCACTTTGAAACAGGCTTCCTTCTCGTCAGTGAAATGACCTTCCTCTCTTAGCCGTTAAACAATGTCTGCCACTCTCCAGGCAAAGAATAAGAAGAGATCTAAGTGTTATTTTCCTTGTAACTTTCAGTGTTTAATTCTCCTTTTTTTGTCTTCAAATTCTAGAGAGAGTTAAAACTCACTAAAACATTTTGGCATTTATAAAAACATTCAAACTATAGTTTAGAAATTCACAGTAGAGAACTTACAGTTCAGTCATAAATTTAGTCTCAAATTAGCTCAAAAATCCATAAAAGAAAGACTCCCTCTTATCTGTATTTTGTCTGCCTCTCTGACTTGGCCAGAATCAGAGAGAGAGACAGAGATTCTTTTTGAAGGGAAAAACAAATTTTTTTTTCAGTTAACCAAGACCCAAGAAAAAGTTAACAAACAGATAATGTGACAAAACAGAATCAAAGAAAGATATAAATGAAATTAGTGCACCCAAAGGAAAATCCCCTATTTAGGTCAAATTCTGGGATATATATATGTATGTATACATGTATATATGTATATGTATGGATGTATGTGTATGTGTATATGGCTAATTTTGCTTTAATTTTTAGTCTCCCGCTCTTTAAGACTGAGAAGGTCCCGGGTTTCCAGGCTTCTCCAAGGGGGCCTTTGAAAATGGCCCCCTTCCCTGGCTTGGACCAGAGCCCCACCCCCACCAGGAAGGGTTCAGTAACCCTTCCAGCCCTCTCCCAAGAACCAGGAGCCCCGCTTGAAGGAAGAACAATTCTCCAAGGGTTCAGTATTGCCCTAGGAAGCACTGATACCTTAGGAGGATTTCCTGGGTTTTCTCTTCTCCCTTATGTCAGCCAGTCACACTCAAACACAGACAGGAAGACAAATGCAGCTGCAGCTTCCCCGACAGTGTAGGGGCTTGCCTGGCTGGGGAGGAGCCCGTCCCTGGTTGGAGTCCTTCGTGGAGAAAGCCTCAGGCGACCAGTTCCACCAGTGAGCTGTGTTGTTAATACTGTGCATAACTGCAGTAAACAAAGGTCCAGTTCTTCCAAACAGAACTCATTCTCTTTTCCCCTAAACCCTCCCTCTCTCCTACCTTCCCTGTTACTGTTGAGGGCACCCCCATCCTTCCAGTCCCTGAGGCTTACGCCCTGAAAGTCATCCTGCACTTCTCTCTCTCTGTCTCTATCTCTCTCTCTCTCTCTCACACACACACACTCACAAACACACACTCACACACACGCACTCACTCACACTCATACACACTCACTCACACATGCACACACACGCACACGCTCACACACACACTCAAACACACGCTCACTCTCACACACACACTCAAACACACCCACACACAAACACACACATGCTCACACTCATACTCACACTCACACTCTCACACACACACACTCACACACTCTCACACACAAACTCACATGCACACACTCACACACACTCACAAACACACACTCACACACACTCACAAACACACTCACGCTCACTCACACACACACAAGCTCACATGCACACACGCACACACTCATACTCACACACACTCACACTCACAACTCACACACTCACAAACACACTCACACACACAGACACAAACGCTCACACACACTCACACTCACATAGTCACACACTCACACACACACTCTCACACACAAACTCACATGCACACACTCACACACTCACACACTCCCACTCACACTCACGCACGCACACATACACTCACAACTCACACTCACAAACACACACACTCACACACACAGACACAAACACTCACACACACTCACACTCACATACTCACACACACACCCCAATCTGTTGCCAAGACCTGTCAGTTTCATCTCTGCAGCATGTCTTGAACACGCCGCCTTCTCTCCTGTGACTCTGCCCCCACCCTGGTGCAGACCCTCATCACTTCACCCCTGGACTATGGCAGTAGCTGCTGGGAGGTCCCGTCTGCCTGCCTCAGTCTCTCCCCATGCTAGTCTATCCTCCATTCGGCTACCAAAGTGATTTTCCTAAAGCATAGTTCTGATCATGTCACCCCCCTACTCAGTTAACTCCAGTGGCTTTCTGTTGTGTCCAGGGGCAAATACAAAATGCTGTTTGGCATTCAAAGCCCCTCATAATCCAGCCCCCTTCCACCTTTCCAGTCTTCTCACACCTCACTCGCCAACACGTCCTCTTCAATCCAGTGACACTGACCTCCTGGCTGTTCCATGAACAAGACGCCGTCGTCTCTGGGATTTTCTCTGGGCTCTTCCACCCTCCCCTGCAATGCCGTCCCTCCTCGGCTCTGCCTCCTCACCGAGCTGGCTTCTTCTAAGTCCCAACATCTTTTGCTGGAAGCCATCCCCAGCCTCTCTTAATTCTAGAGCCTTCCCACTGTTAACTGTTTCCTATTTATTCTGGTTATAGTTACAGATAAGCAGCATACCTGTCTGTCTGTCTGTCTGTCTAGATAGCTATCTCTCTCTCTGTCTCTCTATCTCTATCTCTCTCTGTCTCTCTATCTCTCTATATCTCTATCTCTTTATCTCTTTCAATATCTCTGTCTCTTTATATCTACCTCTGTCTATTTCTCTCTCTCTCTGTGTCTATCTCTATCTATCTATCTCTTTGTATGCTGTCTCTCCTATTAGATTGTAAGCTCCATTCTATTAGATTGTAAGGGACTGTTTTTTGCCTCCTTTTGTAGCCTTGAGCTTTAGCACAGTGCCTGACACATAGTAGGTGCTTAATAAACGTTGACTGATTGATTGTTTGAATAGTCAGTCAGTGACTCTTGGGTACCCGGTTATTTATTCAGCACTTCTGCCCATCAGGGTGTCCACAGTCCTCCCAGTGAGCATGGGGTTCCCCACTGAGTAGCTGTCAATGTTAACTGTTTGTTTTTTTTAAGATTCACTTTCATTTTAGTTTCCGGTCTAAATTCTTTCTATTTCACCTCTTTCTTCTCTTCTCCCCACAAATGAGAAAGTAAGAAAAACAAAACCTAGCGGAAACATGTGTACTCAAGTAAAAATTACCGCAACCCCTGACAACACAAGCTTCAGCCCCCACTCTTCCCCAACCTGTTTTTCTGAAGGCGCGTAGCATGTTTCATTATAAAGTCCTCTGAGGGCAGCTTGGTGGCCCTGGATTCAGGAGGACCTGAGTTCAAATCTGGCCTCAGACACATAACACTTACTAGCTGTGTGACCCTGGGCAAGTCACTTAATCCCATTGCCTAGCCAAAAAAAAGTGAATAAATAAAGTCCTCTGGCTTTGTGCTTGGTCACTTTGTTGATCAGAATTCTAAAATCTCTCAAAATCGTCTTTACAAGGTTGTTGTCTTTGTATAAATTGTTCCCCTCACCCTGTCCAGTTCACTTTACATCAGCTCATACAAGTCTTCCCAGGTTCCTCTGAAACCATCCCCTAGAGCTGGTGGGACAGAGGATAGAGGCTGGGTCTGGAGTCAGGAAGACCTGGGTTCAAATCCATCCTCAGACACGTGCTAGCTGTGTGACCTTGGGCAAGTCATGTAACCTCTGTCTGCCCCGATTTCCTCGACTGTGAAAGAGAGACCATAACAGTGCCTCCTTCCCAGGGCTGTTGTGAGCATCAAATGAGGTAACCTTTCCAAAGCACTTAGCACAGCGCGTGGCACAGAGCAGGTACTTCGTAAATGCTTGCTTCCTTCCCTTCCCCTTTATCGTTTCTTAGAGCACATTACATGTACATACCATAACTTACTCAGCCACTCCCCAGTTGATGGTCACTCGCTTAGTTTCTAATTCTTTTCCACCACAAAAGAATTACTATAACTGTTTTAGTACGTATAGTCCTTTTCCTCTGTCTTTGATTTCTTTGGCCCGTAGACCTAGTTGTGCTGTCTCTGGGTCACAGGGTTTCATTGGACCAGGTGACAGCTCCACAGTGCGTCTCATCCTGCCCGGGTCCTTCCTGAATGATGCCCTCCCGCTCCCCCACCCCAAGCCTCGGAACCCCCACTCCCAGAGGGAATGAGGGGCACTTCACTTCCCGCCTCTTCTCCGGGGAGAGGCTTGGTTCCTAGCAGCTTCCTTGCTGCTGTTCTTGCGGTCGGTGGTGACCTTGTGTCCCTTGTTTTCCTGGTCCTGCGGACTTCCCGCAGCTCAGTTCCCACACATCTTCCTAAACTGTTCAGAAGTCTTCCTGGGCATTGTCTCTCATGGCGTAGGGTTGTTCCGTTTTCTTTGTCTGCCGTGATTGGAGGGTCTGGCTCCCGGGCGATGGGAGCTGCTGTTGTTTCCAGTTCTCTGCTGCCACCGAAGGAGCTTCTCTGGCCGTCTCTGAGTCTGTGGGAGCTTCCTCTACGTCCGCTACACACTCAGCAGTGGGATTAAGAGAGGAACATTTAGCACTAAAGAAAAACTCAAGGGAAATGTTAAGCTAGAAGCGGCGTCCAGACTAGGAGCATCTGTGCACAGGGCTCCTGTGGTCGAGTTGGTTCATGGGCTGTGCCTGTTTCTGTACAGTCTAGAAAATGAGAATATATGTGAATTACCGTATGCCATGGATGACATCATTGCCCTGGAAATCGAGGTGAAAGGCTCCGTGGAACCCTTCCAGATTCTCCTGGAACCGTACGCCATTATCATTCCTGGAGAAAACTACATCGGAGTCAACGTGAAGAAAGACTTCAAGGTGGGACCTTCTCTCTTGTCTTGGTGCTCTGGGGTGGGTGGGATGGTACCTCTTCCACCGGCTCCTCCTGAGGGCCAACCTTTACCCCAAAGCCCCCAGGGTCTCGGCTCCACCGTGTGCCTGATGGGGCCCTAGGGGACCAGACCCCAGCTCTTGCTGCCCTCCCTGCCCCAGCCTCAGATGTCCTGTCAGCACCAGCTCTCACCCATTGCCCTTTTGATCGTTGGTTTCACAATGGAGCCGGCCTTGGGGCCATCCTGAGAGAGACTCTGTCCCCAGCCTGAGGACCCCTCTGGAGGATGTCCACAGGGAGACACTGAGGACTTGGGTTTGGGAAGCACATGGTTTCCTGGGGGCTGGGACCTGGACTGAGACCAGAACGTACTTTCCCAAGCCAAGCTTCAGGTTTCCTTGTCTGTTAGATGTGGAACAACAGCAAATCTGCTATTCGGTACACATGGGAGAAGATAAGTGACTGCCACATCGTTGAGGTGGAGCCATACACGGGGGTCATAGGTAATGTGGCTTTGTAGCAGCCACGCTGGGTCCACAACATAATGGCGATAAGGCCCCCCTGAGTATGTGAGAGGCCCCAAGTGGGGGGCACTGGAGAGGGAACCACACAGCAAAGCCCCCCTGCCCTCCTGGGGGATGCACCGGGTGCCTCGATGAGGAAATATTGGGAAATTTGAGAGAGAAAGAACATTATTCAATCAACAAGCATTTACTAACCCCATGGTACGTGCTAGACAGACACCATGCTGGACCCTGGGGATATGGACACAAAAGTGGGACGGTTCCTGACTTCAAGGATCTTAGATGGTCCTGCAGATAGAAATCAGTCCTGAGTGATGGGGAAGGTCTGGGGCAGAGCCAGAGACCAGAAGGAAAGAAAGCCTTCCTGGTCTAGGGTACAGAGGTGCCAGAGTGAGAGAGAGAATGTTGAGTGTGGCGAACAACACTAGGCCAGTTTAGCTTAAGCATCTATTAAGCACCTACTGTGTTCTAGGCACAGTGCTAAGCCCTGGGGATATAAAAAAAAGGCAAAAGACACCCCCTGCCCTCAAGGGGCCCCCAGTCTAACGGGAGAAGAAGACAACCTAGAAAAAGAACCTGGAGGTGGGAGGGGGGATCTGATAAGTCGAGGTCAATGGAGAGAAAGAGACAGATGCAGGAGATGTTCTGGAAGCAGTCACAGGACTACACCCGACTGGCGGGCCTGGCAGAACAGGAGACCCCTCCCCATGAAGAAGCGCGGGAGCGCGGGGGAGGCGTCAGAAGGAGAGGGGGCCCTGCCTGTCAGCTGGGGCATCGTCCACCTGGGGGTTGTTGAACCCATTGGAATAGGCGGTATGGTGTGATGGAGCGGGAGTGGAGACTGAAAGGAGGAGAGGGCTGAGCAGACAGCCTTGGAGGGCATGAATGGTGACCCAGCCGGGCTCGGGATGGTCGGGGGCGGGGGGACTTTCAGCAGAGAGGGGTGGTTAGAAGCCTGGTGGTAAGGGAGCAGAGTGGGGGATGAGGAAGAGGAAGGAGCTTGGCTCTGAAAATGCAAAGAGGGAGAGAGAGAGAATGAGTGAAAAGGGAGGGGGGAGAAACACAGAGAGTGGTGGGGAGAGATAGAGACAGACAGACAGCATGCTGACGGGGTGGCAGAGGAGGCTTGGGGAAGGATGGGGGGGGCCTCACTGTGTAACCAGTGGCAGAAACTAGGTGCCAGAGGAAGATGGCAGGGAATGGCATCCGAGGCACAAGCAGAAGGCGTGCCCGCCTCAGAGGCTCTTGGGGTTTGAGGTGGACGCTCAGGACAGGTGGCTCCAATGTGGCGGGCAGCAAAGGGCCAGTGGCAAAGCCGGGAGCAGTCCTCAAGGTGGGGCTGGCGGAAGCACGCTCATTGGGGCTCGCTTCTGGTCCCTGAACTAGAGCACTCCAGAATTCATGTCGCTAGTGACTTTGTGGTCTTTTCCTTTCCTAGACCCTAATGAAAAGGGTGAATTTGAATTGAATTTCACTGGTGGTGTTCCTGGAGTGACAAGCCAGGAGCTGCTGTGTAAAATTGAGCGCTCCCCCGTACCTGTGGTGCTGCACATTGAGGCCGCCTTCAAGGTAAGGATGTGCGTGAGCCCCCGCCAGGGAAGGAAGGCTGTTGTCCGCTTCCGTGGAAGACCTTGGGCCTTGGAGAACTGCTCCTACAAATGGAGGGTCAGAGACGGATGGATGGAGAAACAAAAAAACATTTATTGATTACTTACCATGTGCCAAGCCCTGCTCCCAAGGGGTTCACATCCTATTTAGGGGAGACAGTGTTTGGAGTAAAGGGGAGCTGTATAGGCTGCAGAAGCCCCAAGGGTGCAGCAGCAGGTCGAAGAGCCCAGAGGCCTCAAAGTTTGCCAGTGCTGGGGCTATCCTGGTGTAGCGACAGGAAAGGGGGCAGGACTGGAGTGGGTCATTCCCAGCTTATCCCTGTGGCACTGGCCCTCGGTGGGGTCTGGCGGCCCAGGGGTCAAGGTCAGGGTGAAAGGAAGGCAAAGGGAAGGGCCTACCCCTAGCAGGCAGCAAAGGCTACTGAGAATCTGCCAAAGGAGAGTGTGGGGACTGACATGTGAAGGGTCTTTTTTGGTGCCTTAGGGACCAACGCTTAGCATCGATGTCTCAGCCCTGCAGTTGGGTCTGGTTCGACTGGGGAAGAAGGCAGTCGGCTTTGTAAGCATTCAGAACACGAGCCAGCTCCCAGCAAAGTGGAAGATGCGGGAGAGCCCCGCGTGCCTCAAGGAAAGGAAGGAAAAAGTAAGCTCCCTGCGGCCCGCGCCCTGGTCAGCGGTCTGGAAGCCACAGCTGGCTCTGGGCTTGGGGACGTGGTCAGTGGTTCTCCAAGCTCCACGGGATCCTCCTCCCCCGTGGCTCTACCCCAGACTGAGCTCCCCGGGCCCTTCTTGTCTTGGTGCTTGCTGAGAAAGAACGGACTCAGGACCCACTCGGAACCTCAGGCTCCACCTGTCCACAGTGGAGCTCCCCCCGCCCCCGCCTCTCACTCCTGTTGCTGTTGATGCCCCCGCCATTCTCTCAGTCGCGGGGCTCCAAGCCCCAAAGCCAGCTTGACACCGAAGCCGGGAGTGCGGGGCTGGAAGGGACTTCTCCAGGCTCCACACACACAGGTCCCTCGACCGATCCTTGTACGCCGTGGACTCCAGGCGCCTCACCAGCCTGACTGCCTTCCTGGGACCCTCTCCAGCTTATCTGGGTCCTCTGGAGACTGTGGTGCCAGCACTGTCACTCTCCAGGGAAGGCTAAGAAGGGTGTGACCGCCACCCTGATCCTGGAAGCTCCTTCACCTTCCCCTGATCTGTGTCTCCTGTGATCCCGAGGCCCTTCACCGTCCAGGCCCCTCCTCTGGCACTCCTCTGCTCCCCGCCAGGAGTCTTCGTCCAGGGCTCAGGGCTCCCCTCTTCTGCAGCGTGTGCCCCTGTGCTTGGCCTCCTGCCCAGGTCCCCTTGAGCAGAGGCGGCAGCCTGAGGCCATGGCAGCACGTCTCCTGGACCAGGTGCAGATGTAATTGGGAAGCATTTACCAAAATGAACCCAAGTGCAGTGCGGCCCAGAGAGCGTTCCTTTGTGGCTCCCTGGTCAGTGTGCTGCTCGCCCCCTTTCCATCTGAGTCTGACGCCCCGCGCCGAGCGTCACTCGTCAAAGCAGCGCAGCTCTCCTCTTCCTCCGCAGGTTTCTCCCTTCATCATTCGGCCTCCCCGGGGCCGTATTCCTCCTCTGGGACAGCTCCGCGTGACTGTTCTCTTTGAAGCTAAATGCTGCCGGAGCCTCCGGACAGTCCTGGAGCTGCAAGTGGAGAACGGAGAGCCAAGGTAGGGGCTCGAGCCGCTGGTCCAGGAGCCCTGGCTGCGCCTCCGTCAATCAGTAATCGGTCGGTCGACACACATTTATTAAGCACCAGGCACTGTGCTAAGCGCTGGGGGTACAAAGAGAGGCAAAAGATGATCCCTGCCCTCTGGAGCTCCCAGTCTGTGGGGGAAGCAACCTACAGACAAAGCCATATGAAGCATCCATCTGTCCGTCCGCCTGTCCATCTGTCTGTCTGTCTGTATGATGCTGCCCCGGCCAGCATCCGCAAATCTTTTTTTTTTTCCCAAATCATTGTTTTTCTCTGGGAACAGGCTCTTTCAGAGATGCCAAGTGGCCGTGGTTCTTTGGGACAGCTCGCGAGCTGGGCTCTGTTGTTTCTGAGAATAGAATTCTGAGTGGAATACTATTTAAACCGAAGGTGTGCACGAGGCGATTTGAACGTCGCTAAAAAAGGCGCCACGACCCAGCTAACATCCGTGGTTGAGATCAGAGTCCTGACCACCTTTGCCAAGTCCCTCCTGTGTAGGAAGGCCCATCCCAAGGTGTTGGAGGGGGTGGAGAAAGGGAAATGTGCCTCTAACTGCCTTCTCTGCCTGCACTCGGTGTCCCTCGGGCCCCCCAACCTGCCCCCTCCCCCTCAGCAGGCCGCACAGCCGGCTCCTCCTCCCCCAGCCCACCCTTCAGATCACCCCAGCTCCTTCAGGTTTGGCTGCCATCTCAGAGTGTGGGATGGCCCAGCTCCTTCCCAGTGCTGACTCTTCACCTTTACCCTGGAACCCAGGATTGCTCTTCAGTGACCCCCCTCCCCCGAATTCTCAGCCTTCTTATCCACCAGCTCTGTCCCTGCTGCCTTTAAACCTGCCTGACTTTTATTCTTTAAAAAAGCTTTACTGAGTTTTGCTCGATAACTCCCCCCGAGTTAGCAATCTATAGTCCCCCCCCCCCGGCTTTTACACCAAACTCCTAGAAAAAGTTGCACACACTTATAGCCTTTACCAACTCAATGAGGGAGGTGGGGAAGGAGGAGGGGAGAGAATTTGGAGCTCAGAGTTTTAATGATGAATGTTTAAAATTGCTTTACACGTGATTGGGGGTTACTAAAATACCAAATTAAAGAAATGAAAAAGAAGAAGGTTGTCTACCCTGGCTGCCTTCCCTTCCTTGGCTCCCCGTCGCTGCCTCTGGCTTCCATCCCCGCCACTCAAGGCAGACAGCTCTCTAACTTTCTTCTCTCATTTGGCGGGCAACTTCATCAGCTCTCCAGATAATCTCTGTATTAAGTTATTTTTGTCCTCTGAACTTAACAAACGCCAACCAGAATTAGCATTTCCATATACAGAGGAGAACAGAAAAGAGAACTGTAATTGATACGTCTCCAGTGTGTTCACTTGGGCAGGTGACTCTCAAAGCTGTCCTGCTGGTCTGTGTTCTCTTCTGGCCTTCCGTCATTCCTTTCTGTGCACTTAAAATGCTTCTGGGATCCTTCTTTCTTCTCTTTACCTCTCTCCCTTCCAACTCCTGTCCCCAATCATAAAAAAGAAAAGAGAGAAAAACAAAACTTATGAAACACTTATACATAGTCAAGAAAAATAAATTCATTGGCCTTATCCAAAAGTGTATGTCTCACTCCAATCTTGAGGCTGTCGCCTGTCTGGAGGGGGCAGCATGCTTCGTCGCAGGTCCTCTGGAGTCATGGTTGGTCACTGAGTGCTCTTAAGTCTGCAAAGCTGAGTTTCTTTACAGTTTTGTAGTCACTATACAAACTATTCTTCCAGTTCTGTGCACTTCACTTTGCATCAGTTGATGAAAGTCTTCTTAGATTTATTGAAACCATCCCTTTCAGCATTTCCTACAGCTGAACAAATTATGGTGTATGAATGTCCAGCCTTTTGATAATTAATATTCAATAATTGGTGATTTTAATATTTAACTAATGTTTAATAATTTAATAGTTAATTCAACAACTTGTCACTACCCAGTTCTTTGCCACTACAAAAACAGCTGTGAATATTTTTGTGCACAGGTGTCCTTTTCCTTTTTCTTTGATCTCCTGGGGTATGTAGGCATAGTGGTGTGTCACTGGGTAAGAGTGTGCAGAGTTGAGTGACTTTGCAGAATGCCTGAGCCATTCAGTGCTCTACAAAGGATGCTTTAGTGTGCCTCTTTCCCTTCAGCCCCTCCAACATTTGTTATTTTCCTTTTTTGTCATCTTTTCTAATCTTATGGGGATAAGGTATGACCTCAGAGTTATTTTAAGTTACATTCCCCTAATTATTAGTGATTTGGAGTATGTTTTCATGTGACTGTTGATAGCTTAGATTTCTTCCTTTGAAAACTTCCTATTCATATCCTTTGACCACTTATCAGTTAGGGAATGGTTCTTGTTCTTATTGATTTGAACCAATTATACATCTTAGAAATGAGACCTGTATCAAAGAAACTTGCTTCAAATATTTTCCCCAGTTAACTATTTCCTTTCTAATTTTAGCTGCATTGATTTTGTTTGTGCAAAAACTTTGAAATTCTGTTGAATTCGATTGAAATTGCTCTTTTTTTCTGAGATTCTCTCTATGCCGTTTGGTCACGAAGTATCCACTGATCCAGAAGGACATTTCTTTATTGTTCCCCTCATCTGGCTAAGATGTAACCGTTCACATCTCAGTCACAGACCCATCTGTAGCTTCTCTTGATACATGGTGGGAGATGTTGATGTAAACCTAATTTCTGCCGGACTGCTTTCTTCTTTTCCCAGAGACTTTTGCCCAGAGGTGAGTCTTTACTGCAGTGGTTTATCAAACACCCCACTGCTATTCTGTAGGGTGAGTTACACACCTCTTCCTCTGATTGACTTCAGTGGCCTCTTCAGTGGTGAGCCTGACAAATGCTCTTCCCCCTCCTCATTCTACTTGCTCTCTCTGGAACTGTTGCCCTTGCTGACCACCCCTTGCCTCAGGGCCCTTTCTCCTCCCTGGGTTTTTAGAACATTGCTCTGGTCAGGTTCTCTTTCTCCCCAACTGTAGGTGTCCCCCAGGGCTCTGTCCTGAGTCTCTCCTCCCTCTACATGTATGTGATCTCTCTCTCTCTCCTCCTTCTCTCTCTGTCTCTCCCTGTCCCTGTCTCTGTCCGCCTTCCTCTCCTCCTCCTCCTCTCCCTCTCTCTCTGTCTCTCTGCCTCTCTCTTCCTTTTCCTCTCCCCCTCCCCCATTTCTCTTATCTCTTTCCCACCTTCCTTTCCCCTGTTTCTCCCCATCCTTCTTGCCTTCTTCTCTCTGTCTCTGCCTCCCTCTCTTGCCCTCCACATCCTCCCATCAGCTCCCATGAACTCAAAGACCATCTTTATGCCTGTGACTTCCAGATCTGTAGAGCCCTCATCAGCCTCCCCAAGCATTAGCCAAACATCCCCAGCTGCCCTGTGTACATCTACCTCCGCATGTCTCTTAGACATCTCGACTCAGAATCGTCATTACTGTGGGAGAAGATTCCTTAGGTGGATTGTGGCCCCTTTGGGAGGATGCTCCCAAATAATTGGGTGTGGTTTGCTTTTGACCAGCACAGTACCCAAGGAATCATGAACACCAGAGGCACTTCATGCCTTGCTGGCCTTTGGGGGAGCGGCTCAAGGTGCTGCTTTGGCAGCAGCCCCTAGGACTGAGGCCTCCGAGGGCCCAGGGTGTGCTGAGCTCCCTCGGGTCTCAAGGGACACTCCTGAGAGAATGCTGGAGGAAGGCAGCTGTCTGGTGCCAGGGGGAGCTACATGTATGTGATCTCTCTCTTTCCTCCTTCTCTGCCAGTGCAGAGAAGCTCGTGGGAGGCGGGTCCCTGGGCTCAGAAGAGGCCTCACGGATGAAACCTGGAGTCTGACCTGGGCCTGAGTGTCCTGGGAAAGTTATCAGAGACATGGGGATGCTGGGTCACTGGTGCTGAGTGCTTTCTGAGTAACAAGCTTGGTGGGAGGGAAAGAGGAAGGCACACACATTGAACAGAATTGGGGAAGGATTTGGGGGAGGCCCGAGCCCCGGGCCCTCCAGGCCTGAGCTAGGGAAGGGTCAGCCAACAATGCCTGACCCCGTGCCCCCTTTGCGTCCAGCTACCTGCCTGTCTATGGCGAAGTGCAGAGGCCTTATGTCTACCTGATGTCCAGCCAGCTTGTGCTCAGCGACATGTACTTTGGCATTCCCACGGAGGCCACCGTCACGCTCTTTAACGGGACACTTCTGCCCACCAAGTTCCTGTGGGGGAAGGTAAGAGAGGCCTCTTCCATCCAGGCTTGGGGGAATGCGCTGGCCGGCCTGGCCAAGGTGGAGGGAGGAAGAAGAACGGCGCCCACGTGTCTAGGGCACCAGGTGGTTTGCAGAGTGGTTTACCCACACTAGGAGCTTGTTCTGGTGAGCAGAGCACAAAGGCCACAGGATCGTAAGATGCTCAGAGACCATCAGTGAGGCCAGCCCCTCATTTTATAGATTTCACATTTCAGCTCCAAAGCTCATGGAGAGTGCCCACAGCAGGCAGTGAGACAGGGCCCATGGCCTTTCGGGCGTCCCACAGGGGTGGTCTGGTAGACAACCTCATCCCAACGTGTCTAAAATGGACTTTGTTTTCTTCCCCCCCACCTTTCCTGTTACTGAGAGGGTGCCCCCATCCTCCCCATCCCCCAGGCTGCCAACCTAGGGGTCATGCTGGACTCCTCTCTCTCGCCCCCCAGATCCAATATGGTGCCAGGGCCTGTCAATTTCACCTCTGCAGCATCCTTTGAATATGCCCCTTCTCTCCTCTGAGGAGAGCTAATAATGGCTAGTGATTTAATCTACGTTGCTTTACAAATATTATTTCATTGGGTCCTCACAATCACCCTAGGAAGTAGGTGCTATGATTACCTCCCTCCCATTTATAGATGAGGAAACTGAGGTAAACAGAGGTAAAATGACTTGCCCAGGATCACACAGCCAGTGAGTGTCTGAGGTTGGATTTGAACTCAGCTCTTCCTGACTGACAGACCTGGTCTTGTGGGCCCCTGAGGCAGTGCCATTCCAGTTTACCCAGATAACTTCTTCTAAGCTCCCGACTTCTACTGGGGTGGTTCTGTCTGAGAGCTAGGAAAGGAGGTGGTCCAGTGCCCAGTAACCCTGCCTTAATGGTTCCCTTTTGGCATACAAAGAGAAGAGGGTCTCCTGGAGGAAGATGAGGTCAAGACTGTTGGCATGTGCCCCAGATCCACTGAGCCACTGGGGCATCATGACATGGCCTTGTGGGTGCTGTGCCTTCCTTTGGCCAAGGAGGGACTGGCTGAGCCTTTGGAATCTCGGAGGTTAATCTGGAAATGTCTGAATAGCTTAGAAGAGAATTTCCCTTTATTGACAGCTTCTGGGGACTCATTCTAGCCTCTGCCTAGTGGACGTCTGCCCCAGAAATGGCCTCTTGGGCCCCAATGAGGAGAAGCAGGTCTACCTGCGGTTTACAGCTTTCACTATGGTAAGGGCAGCAACGGAAGCGTTGTCTCATGATGTCCCTGGTGGGAGAGGGGGCTCTGACCTGGCCCGAGCCTCAGAGAGGAGGGAAAGGCCATAACGTCTCCTGGGGCTTCGAGGAGGCCCTGGGCAAGGGCCCCAGCACGCACTCTGGCCTCGGTGTCCACCCTGGAGTTCTGCGGAATGCCCTGCTCTCTCTCTCATGTGTGAGCTCCAGAACCTGCCCACATCACTTACCCCGTTTCAGGTCAAGAGGTTTTGCAGTCAGGTTTTTCATTTTTTCCAAAATCAGAATCCACATTTTGATGCCAGAGGGTGAGAAGGCTCTAAGCCTTCTGTGTCAAAGGGTCCTCCTTTCCCTGTTATGACAGGGCTTAAATTTTCTGAGCCTGCGGGTCCCACAAAGGAAAACTTACTTTCATAGGTCTTATGTTTACATTTGCAAGTATTTTGTGTTTCTGAGAACTGGGAGTGAGGACCCCGGTCCTCTCCCCTCCTCCATCCAGGGTGAAGCTGTTGGCCCTCTCCCCACCCCGGACTCTTCCCTCTATCAGTCCCCAGGGCCTCGTGGCTCCCCGTCATTCTAACTCCACCCGTCACTGGTGGCCTGAATGCATGTGCTGAACGGTCTGGCTCTGACCTGCTCAGGATAGTCAACAAAGAGATAGATCGTCCAGGCATGGCGGCCTCTTGAGAAGAAGGCAGAGGGGACGTCCTGAAATTCTAAATATAGACATCCTTAGAAATGGACTGCCCAAGTAGGTCCAACAATCATTGACCCGAGAAGCAGGGCAGTTCTCGTTTTCCAGTGACCTCTCACACATTTCCCAAGCTGGTTCTGGATCTTGGCTTGGTTAACAAGAAGGTAGGACTTTGTTCTGCTTTTAGGATGAACTGACAGACCTTGCCCTCCTGTGTCACATAGAAGGGGTGAAGAAATCTCTTGTTCTGGGCATTTCAGGGAAGCCCAAAGGGCTGGATGTGACCTTCTCAATACCCCAGGCTGATGGCCAAAGCAGGTAAGCCAGGCCTCTAAGGGGACAGCCAACCTTGCCTCACCTTGCGGTTTAATAGCTGAAGGAGCTTGGGCGAGTCCTGGGTGATCGGGAAGATGGCAGTGCCCTCCACAGAAACTGACCAGTTTGGAGGAAGGGCAGGTTTATGGAGCATGATAATGGATCCTGTTTTGAACACTTAGAGCTCGAGCTACCAGTGGAACATCAGGTGACCCCTAGCAGACAGTTCACAATGTGAGATGGGTGTCAGAGAGAGACAAGGATTGATGAGATAGATTTGGATGTCATCTACATGGAGATGACCACTGAACCATGGATACTGATGAGTGTAGAAGAGGGCCCGACATCCACGCTTAGGGTGGAGGGGGAGGCTGAGGAAGAGTGGGCCAGCCTGTAGCGGAGGGGCGCTAGAAGGAGAGAGGGAGTCAGTGTCAAGAGAGGTCAAGGAGGATGAGGACTGATCAGAAGACAGATTGTAAGAGATTAGGACATGAGTGGATGAGATAGAAAGTGTGCTACGCTCCTTCTGGGGCTGTCCCTTGAGCCAGAACGGCACCTTCTAGGCAGACTTATCCTGGGCATCAAGCAGGAATGGGCAAATGAATAAAAACATTTCAATTCAGCTCAACAAACAGCGTTTATTAATCACTCACTGCTTGCAAGCCCTGTACCAAGGTCTGGGCATATGAATGGAAAAGAAAGATCCTGTTCTCAAGAATTCACGTTCTGGCCGGGGCAACACCGGCTAGAGGGTGTAGAGGGTGGCTCAGCTGCCGGGCAGACAGAGAGGAGCCGGGGTCCTCAGCAGCGACGCACATCCGCGTCTTTTCTTTTTCCAGTATATTTTTGTTTGTTTCATTATTTGTTTTCCAGTTACATTTCTTTTTTTAAAGTTTTAATTTCACCTTCAAGTTAATATCGCATTTACTCTCATGCCACAAGTTTGCTTTCTTCCCTTCCTCTGAGGACATCTTTTTATTTACATTTTTTATATTTATTTTATTTATTTTTTGGTTACATTTTGAGTTCCGAGTCGTCTCCCTCCTTCCCAGCCCCGCATTAGAGAAGGCCACCGTTTGATGCAGAGACGTAGCGGGAACCTTACAACACTTCCACGTATCAATTCTTTCTCTGGAGGTGGAGAACATATTCCTTCATAGCTGATTTTAATGTTGATATTACTCAGAACAGCTCAATCATTCACAGTTACTCGTTGAACAATATCGCTGTTACAATGTACAACATTCTCTTGGTTCTGCTCATTTCACTCTTCATTATTTCGTGCAAGTCTTTCCATGTTTATCTTAAATCAGCCTGCTCATCATTTCTTATAGCACAGTAGTATTTCATCATAATCACATACCACACTCGGTTCAGTCATTCCCCAGTTGACAGACATCTCCTCAATATCCAGTTCTTTGCCACCAGAAAGAGACCTGCTATAAATAGTTTAGAACATACAGGTTCTTTTCTTTTTCCTTGATCACCTTGGGAAACAGACCTAATGGTAGTATTGCTGGGTCAAAGGGTATGCATAGTTTTATAATTTGGGGGACATAATTCCAGATTGCTCTCCAAATGTTTGGATCAGTTCCCAATTCCACCAGTAGTATATTAGTATCCCAGTTTTTCCACAGACCTTCCAACATTTGTCATTTTCCCCTTCTATCATTTTAGCCAATCTGATAGGTATAAGATGGTACCTCAGAGTTGTTTTAATTTGCCTTTCTCTAATCAATAATGATTTACAGCATTCTTTCGTATAACTATATACAGCCTTGGTTTCTTCTTCCAAAAACTGCCTGTTTATATCTTTTTACCATTTATCAATTAGGGATTGATTCATATTCTTATAAATTTGAGTTGGTTTTCTGTATAGTTGAGATATGAGGCCCTTATCCAAGAAATTTTCTATAAAACATTTTCCCCAATTTTCTGCTTTCCTTCTACTCTTGACTGAATTGGTTTTATTTGTACAAAAACTTTTTTTTTTAAGTAAGGTTATCTATTTTTTTTTTTTTTAGGCAATTGGGGTTAAGCAAAAACTTTTTAATTTAATGTAATCAAAAGTATCTATTTCACATCCCACAATGCTTTCTATCTCTTGTTTATTAATAAATTCTTCTTCTATCCATAAGTCTGATAGGGAATGTGTTCTATGCTCTTCTAATTTACTTATGATATCCCCCTTTAGGGGGATACATAGGCCATGTATCCATTTTTACCTTATCTTGGTAAATGGTGTAAGATACTGGTCTATACCTAGTCTCTGCCAGACTGCCTTTCAGTTTTCTCAGCAATTTTTTTTTTTTTACCAAATAGTAAGTTCTTATCCAAAAAGCTTAGATCTTTGCATTTATGAAACACAGGTTGACTGTAATCATTTACTACTATGTATTGTATACTTCCTCTATTCCACTGGTCTTTCTTTCTATTTCTTAACCATTACCAGATAGTTTGATAATTACCACCTTATAATACAATTTAAGATTGGCACTGCAAGACCTCCTTCCTTTACATTTTTTTTCATTAATTCCTTTGGTATATTTGACCTTTTGTTCTTCTGAGTGAATTTTGTTATTATTTTTTCTAGTTTAATAAAATAATTTTGTTGTATAATTGGGATTGCACTGAATAAGTAGATTAGTTTAGGTGAAATTATCATTTTTATCATATTAGCTCTACCTACTTATGAACAATTAATATTTCTCCAATTATTTAAATCTAATTTTATTTGTATAAAAAGTTTTATAATTATGTTCATATAGTTCCCGGCTTTGTCCTGGGAGGTATGCCGTTATTTTAAATGAAACATCTCTTACTATCTCTTCTTGCAGGGCTTTGTCGGTGATATATAGAAATGTCAGTGATTTATGTGGATTTATGTTACGTTCTGCTGCTTAGCTAAATTATTGTTTTGACTAATTTCTTAGTTGAATCTCTAGGATTTTCCAAATATACCATCATATTGTCCACAAAAAGAGATAGCTTTATTAGCTCATTGCCCATTCTGACTCCTTCCGTTTCTTTTTCTTCTCTTACTGCTATTACTAGCATTTGTGGGACAATACAGAATAATAGTGCTGATTTCTCTGTGGGCATCTGTGTTTCACTCCTGATCTTGTTGGGAAGGCTTCTAGCTTATCCCCCTTACAGGTACTGCTTGCTGATAGTTTTAGGTGGATTCTTCTTGTCATTTTAAGGAGAAATCCATTCATACCTCTGCTTTCAGGCGTTTTTAATAGGAATGAATGTTGTGTTTTGTCAAAAGCTTTTTCTTCATCTATTGAAATAGTCACATGATTGTTACTGCTTTTGCTATTGATTCAATCAATTATGTTAATAGTTTTCCTTATATTGAACCAGCTCTGCACTCCTGGTATAAATCTCACTTGGCCACAATGTATAATCTTTGTCATATATTGGTGTAGTCTCCTAGCTAGTATTTTATTTTATTCAGGATTTTTGCATCAATATTCATTAGTGAAATTGGTCTAAATTTTCCTTGTTTTTGCTCTTCATGATTCAGGTGTCAGCACCATATTTGTTTCATAAAAGGAGTTTGGTAAATGACTTTGGTTCATAAAAGTTTGGTAAATGAGTTTGGTTCATAAAAGGACTGCCTCTTTGCCTGTTATTCCAGATAATTTATTTAATATTGGAATTAGTTGATCTTTAAACGTTTGGTAGAATTCACTTGTAAATCCATCTGGTCCTGCCAATTACATTTCAGATTTTTTTAAAATTCTGAGTTCCAAATCTTCTCTCTCTCCTGCCTCTCTCCAGGAGAGAGGCAAGCTATATGATATCAGTTATATACGTGAAGACATGCAAAATATATCCGATCCATTTCTGATGTTAAACCATTTGACGCTGCTGAGGACTCTGGTGTTGAGAACTTTTTTCCTGGGTCTTCAGTAGCTGTGACAGCTGAGGGGATAGGAGCTGCCATACCTGAAGAGGTCATTGCCAGTTTGCATCTGCACAGAGATTGTGCCCCTGCATGATGGCCAGGGGTCTGAGGGAGGCTGCTGCTTCCAAGGCCTCCATCGGGGTCCAAAGGAATGAGTCTCCATCTCTCCAGGCCTAGGAGATGGGTTGTCCATCAATGGCCCATGGCATGGTCTTGCTGTTTTCAGTGAGGACCAGGAGCCGAGCAGTCCTCAGGATCTCTGCTTGGACTTCGGCTCCAGCGTTCCATTGAGATGTCTCCTGAAGCGGCAGCTGACCCTGACCAACAATTCCGCAATAAAAGCATCCTTTTCTCTGGAATTTGATTATTTTGGGGTCACTGAAGAAATCTGGGCCAAAAAACCGAGGCTGTAAGTTTTCCCCACCTCTCTGTAATGTGTCACACGTCCCCAACTTCCCCAGTCTCCAGGGGGGCCATGCCGCTCCTTGACCCTCACTGGGTAGAATCTGAAGCGTTTTGTTCCAGGATGTTTTCTTGGGCTTTGCAAGCAGAGGAGGCTGGTCTTAGCTCTAAAATGGCTCTTGATTACAAGCTGTCCTTGGGTTGAGAATGCCCGGGATGGTGGGGAGGAGATCCTCAGAGTGGCTCCACGCGCTGGCAGGGGTGGGGGGTCATACAGGTGGTCAGGTCCCTCATTCCATGCACTTGTGGGACGAGGGGCAAACATGTGGTGGTCCGTGGGCCCAGGGGTCAGGGACTGGGAGCCCAGTCAACTGGTGCAGAGCCCAGTTAACTAATGTTTAGGAACCTATGAAAAGGGCCTCAGTGGAATGGGCTTGGAAAGCAGGCCAAGGGGACTGGCCCGTCTAGGGCTGTCTGAGCCAAGCACTGCAGCCGGACCACAAAGAGGGGGCCCGAGAGGGAGAAGGGCTCTTGCCCCATTCCGGGAGCTTCTCTAGGCAGAGACCAGTGGGAGGGAGGTGGGAGCTCTGGTCCCTGGGAGTATGGACGTGTAAGGGAAGGGAGGGCCGGCCATCCCCATCGTCCTGGGCCGTCCTCTCGGGGGCATGGGATGGGACAATGGATGCCCTCGGCTGGCTTGACCACCCTTCCTTTTTGCTCCTTTTTAAGCCCTGACGTACCACCTGCCATGAGACATTCAGTGAGGATTGCAAAGCACATGGCCAGGAGGGACCTTCTAGGTATGAGTGACCTCGTGCTTGCCCCAGTCTTGCTGGACTGCAGCCTGTCTCTGGGGAGGGTCGCGCCCCTTGGAGGGTACACTGGGGAGGGGAGCAGCCGGGGCAGTAACCCACCTGCCCCAGGGCGTGTCCCGAGCCCCCATTTCAGGTCAGGGCCATTTAATGTCTCTTGTCTAAGAGGGCGCAGGCGGGGCTACAGAGCTTTGCTCCTTCCAATTCCCTGTGACAGCAGGAATCCAGCGTCTTTCTAGCCTTCTGGCCAAGTAGAGGGGAAGGGTGGGCCTGCTTAAGGGAAGAGTTCTGCTGGCACCTGATCCATCAGAAGAGCCATGAACAAGCCCCCGGTGTAGGGGGTCGGTCACAGGCTTAGAGCTGGAGGGGAACCTAGGGGCGGCTCCCAAGTCCCCTCGTGCCCAGAAAGGAGAGGCTGGAGAAGGGGTATTCAGAATGCATGCCATCTTGGGCTGGGGGGAGGGGCGAGAGGGGGAGAAAATTTGGAACTCAAAAATCTTGTGGAAGTGAATGTTGAAAACTAAAAATAAATAAATTTTTAGAAAAGAGAGAGGCTGACTTCCCAACATCACTCAGGCAACTGCCTTCACTCCTCAGAGCCTCAGTTTCCTCACCTATAAAACAGTGCTAATGGTGTTTACACTCCCTCCCTCACAAGACTGTTGTATGGAAAGAAAGTGCTTTTAAACCTCAAGGCACTTGTGCATTTTATTTCTGTTAATATAAAAATAATAACATTTATATAGTGCTTTAAGTAGGTCAAATATCTCATTTGATCCTCACAATGACCTCTCAACAACTGGGAGGTAGTCACTCTCATTATCCCCATATTACAAACAAGGAAATTGAGGCAGAGGACGGTTGAGTGACCTGTCCAGGGTCACGCAGCTAGTAAGTGCCTGAGGCTGGATTTGAACCTGGGTCTTCCTGACTCTAGGCCCAGAGCTCTATCCACTGCACTCCCAGCTGCCTGCTAAGAATACTTTTCTTTCTATTCTCTTCAGTTCTGTTCTGAAGAATTCCATTGTAAGAGATGAAGAAACAAAAGATAATCACAGAGATTTTTTTTTGATTTCCGTTGCAATGATGTCAGATTAGGCTGCGAGGGGCAACTGAGTGATGCAGTAGATATAACCCTAGGTTTGGAGTCAGGAAGACCCGAGTTCAAATCCAGCCTCAGACACTTTCTAGCTGCGTGACCCTGGGCAAGTCTGTGTGCCTCCAATAACAGCACCTACCTTGCAAGGCTGTTATGAGGATCAAGGGAGATAATACAAGTAAAGCTCTTAGCACAGTGTCTGGCACCTAGTAGGTGCTTAATAAATGCCTGTTTCCTTGCTCCCTTGAGCGTAAATATGGTGCCTTCTGCTAATAGTATCATTTTCCTATAGTGAGTTAGCTCTGTGCCCGTCCCTGGTTAAGGATCAACGTGCACATGAAGCCAGCACAGGAGACAGATGCAGGACAAACTGGTTTCTCCCTCTCCGAGTAGGGGTCCCACTGACCAGTAGCAGGGAGCCCGGAGCGTCAGCTTCAGTGACCTTCTGTAGAATCTGGCTCCTTAGGAGGACGGGCACGAGGGAATTAGAGGGCAGAAGAATAAGCCCAAGGTGATCTGAGCACTAGGCAGCGCCCTCGCAAGTCCAGGGTGCAGCCTGACCCGGGCCGTGGGGTGGCTCCTGCCACAAGAAAGTATGGTGGTTGTCTGCAGGGCCCGAGAGTCTGGCCTGAACAAGGCCTGCCTGTGGACGTGTTGGTGGCTGCGACGGCAGTGGTGTCCCCTAAGGAAGGGCACGTCCTCTGTGAAGGGTGGAGCTTGACCTGGGTGGCTGCTCTGGATCTGAGGTCCCTCCTGGGAACGCGGCTCGTTTTTTCCCGGGAGGGAGGCTGAGTCTTCCCTTTACACCGTTCTGTTCCTAGACTCTATAGAAACTCTCCTATCCAAAGAGAAAGGAGCCGCTTTCTTTCCTCACGTCTCCCAAGGGACATTGGATGCCTTCCAGAAGCTGACCGTTGACATCACGGCGTGTAGCAACATGTGGGGAGATTACCACGATCAGCTCATCTGCAAGGTAGGGGGGGGTGGCCTGGCCCACGTGGGCGTGAGCAGGGCGCGGCAGAGAACCAGTGAGGAACCGAGGAGGGATGGGAGGAAAGGCGCTGTCAAAGATGAGCCAGGGACACGGCGAGGTTGAGGGGTGCAGCTGGGCGTGTTCCCAGGGCGTCCTTGTACCATAAGGGGAAAGGCAAGAGCTCTCCAAGCGCATGGAGCACAGCCTTCGAGGGAGTGGACAGAGGACGTGGACAAGAGTCACCTCGGAGGAGAAGGCAGGGATTGGTTGCAATTTGTGTCGTTGGTGGGAAATTCTGAACTGGGACAAGATCACAGATTCACTTGAGTGTTTGAGAGTTTGGTATTTGCTATGACCAGTGACTTCCAACTCCCTTCTTCTAAAAAGAAAAAAAAATTTTCACATCTGAATTCTGTCCCTCCCCTCCCCCCAACTCCACTGAGAAGACAAGAAAAACAAACCCATTGCAAACACCAGTAGTCGAGCAAAGCAAGTCCCGCATCGGCCATAGCCAATCTGTCTGTTGATAGATGTAGATACAGAAATGCCCCAGGCTGCGCTCTGAGCCCGTCCCCTGGAGGGGGGTAGCGTGTTTCATCATGAGTCTTCTCAGATTGGGATTGGTCATTGTCTTCATCAGAGTTTCTAAACCTTTGGAACAGAATGGAATGGAATAACTATTTATTAAATAATTAACAACTTTAGTAAAGTTGCAGGATATAAAATAAACCCACATAAATCGTCAGCGTTTCTCTATATTGCCAATAAAACCCAACAGAAGGAGATAAAGTCCATTTAAAATAACTGCAGACAGTATAAAACACTTCAGAGTTTACCTTCCAAGACACAAAGGAACTACACGAACCCAATTAAAGACAGGTGTAAACAGATGGAGAAATATTCATTGTTCATGGGTAGGTTGAATCAACATAATAAAAATGGCAGTGTTACCTAAATTAGTTTACTCATTCATTGCCGTACCTGTCACATGACCAAGGAGTTATTTATAGAGCTAGAAAAAATCACAAGATTCATCTGGAAGAACAAAAGGTCGAGAACATGAAGGCAGTGGATGAAAAACAAAGTGAAGAAAGGCGACCTGGCTGTGCCACAGCTCAGACTTTGTGGTGGGACTCCGTGCTTCTCTGCTCCTTCCCCCGGCCTGCCTCGTGCCTTTGGACATTCTGTTAGGGCTGGCACTGCCCTCGGTCTGGGATGCATCTGTCTCCGCTGTATTTTTGCTGCTTTTGAGTATTGGGTTATCCCAGGATCTCAGAGTCAGCCCACGCTCGGGACTTCCAAGCTGTCAGCGCTCCCAAATGATACGATCCGGGGTCTAGTCTCCCTGCTCGAATGAAGATTCGAGTCCTCCGCGTTCCTGACCCAGCTTTGGGCCTGAGCGGGACATCATCGGCCAGCTCGTTCCTGGTGGGAAGTTTGAGCGGACGCCGCTGGGCTCAGCCTGCTTCAGTGATGGACTGGGCCCCCTCCCCTTTGGTCATGCCGCCGCAGCTTCAGCTTGAGCACGAGGCTCTGCCCCTCTGCTCAGAGCCACGCCGGGGCTGCTGTTTGCTTCGGAGGCGGTCTTGCCGGGACCCCGCCCCGTTCCTCTCAATCTCTCGCTCTTGGGCACTGGCCCTTGTGGTGGGCGTGTGGCCCAGAGCTGGGTAGTGCGCTGCCACGTGGTACCAGGTGCCACACCCCGCCCCAGTTCAGGGATCTCTTCCTGCCTTGGAATCTTTGTGTGCCTGGAAGCTGGCGCCATCCCCAGATCTCTTAATCTGGCCCTCTGTGCTGTCTTAGGCTGGAAAAATGGTTCGCTATGATTTCTTCCTTGGATTTCCTGATCAGGTTTCAGGCTGGTGTGCATGCAGTGGAGAGTGTTGGGCCTGACATCAGGACTCATCTTCCTGAGTTCAAATCCGGCCTCAGACACTCACTCGCTGTGTGACCTGGGCAAGTCACTTCATCCTGTTTGGCTCAGTTTCCTCATCTGTAAAATGAGCTGGAGAAGGAAATGGCAAGCCACTCCAGCAACTTTGCTAAGAAAACGACTGACCAGCCGCATACTACTTCTTCCTGTTACTTCCCCATCTTTCACTCGACCTCTTCCAATTACCTTTTTAAAGACACGATCCCAGAGAAGTAGGTACAGTGAAGTCACCAGCTCTCCCTGACTTGGTCTGGCCAAGGCCCTTGTCTGGTTCTTCAGATAATTCCCTTCCCTCTTCATCTTCTGAAAGAGATGCTGGGGCGGGGGGAGAACTGAAACGACCCTCCTTGGGGTCCCTTTGCTTGCGTTCATTCGAGCGTTCCAAGATGAGATGACTGAGAATCCCATAAGGCAAGGTAGCCCCGGCTGCACTCTCCCCTGTGACTCGGAGACCCTCACTCTTTCTCAGGTCTGCAGCATCGTTTTGTGTCCACAGGTATTCAGACCTCTGTTCCAAGTCTCCATCCAGTCCCTAAAATCGTCAGAGCAGCCCTTTTTGGTATCAAAGAACTAGAAACAAAATCATTGTCCATCCACTGGGGAACGGCTCAATTAGTGTTCTGTAGTGAATGCAGAGGTGCAGGGGCATCGAGGCCGAGGCCATGAGCAGAGCCCAGACACTCCTAACGATGAGAATGGAGAGAACCACAGAAACAAGGTGTGAAGGCCAAGCTCCTCGTCGGGGCAAGCGGCGTTTGCTAAGAGACACCTGCCCTGGGTCGGGCCCTGGGTGTGTGCTCACAGCCCAGCAGAGGGGACGGCACGCAAAGACCAGGCTCAAATCGGCACGTTGGGGATGAAGTAGCGTCTCCGGCACTGAGCCAAGGAGGACCTGAGCTAAGATGGTTCTTCTAGAAGGTGGGACTTAGCTTACGCCTTGAAGGAAACCAAGGCAGTCAAGAGGCAGGAAGAGGAGCGAGAGTGTTGTCGGCAGAGGGGCAGCCAGGGAAGGTCCCCAGAGCGTCTCTGGGTCACAGACGAGAAGGGAAAAGAAGAGTGCAGAGGGAGGAAGGGGCCGGGTTGTGTCTGATCCCGGAGCTCAGAGGGAGCCACTGGGATGGGAGGAGGAGTGGGGCCACACCTACAGGTCAAGAAGATCACTTTGGTAGCCGTGTGCAGGAGGGTCTGGAGTGGGGAGAGGCTCTGGGCAGGCAAGAGTCTGGGTGTGACATGAGGGGGCCCTGCCCTAAGCAGGTGGCCGTCAGAGGAGACGCAGGGGAGTGCTGGGAAAGAGAGGCCGTGAAGGCAGAAATGACCGGATTTGGCAAAAGATTGGATGGAGGGTGGGGGGTGCAGTGAGAGGGAGTGAGGATTGGGGAATGACTCCTAGCTTGTGAGCCTGAGAGGGCTGGGAGGATGCCAAGGCTCTGGACAGTGAAGGGAAGCTGGGGGATGGAGGAGGGGTTCAGGGGAAAGACAGAGAGGTCTGTTTTGAACACAGTGAGTGTAAGACGTCTCCTGGACATCCACTTCAAGATGTCTGTGAGGGCGTTGGACATGTGAGACTGGAGGTCGGGAAAGAGTTAAGGGCTAGACACGTAGATCTGAAAGTCATCTGCATGGAGAAGATTAAGTCCGGGGGAGCTGATGAGATCCCAGGAGAGGAATAAGAGGAAACCCCAGGACAGAGCCCTGAGGGACACCCACGGTGAGGGGGCGCGACTGGAGGAGGATCCCCCAAAGGAGACAGAGGAGGAGTGGTCAGAGAAGGAGGAGGAGAACGGGGGGGG